ATCCTTATAACAACGGTGTGAGGTAAGGACTATACTTTTTTTAAACAGCTTTATTGAGATAAAACTTTGTTAAGAGAGGTGGCTTTTAGTATATTCACAGAGTTGTGCAACCATGACCACCATCACTTTTAGAACATTTTCATCACCCCGGAAAGAAACCCTGCACCCCTCAGCCATCAGCCCCCAACCTCCTCCCAGCCCACCTCCAGTCCTAGGCAACCACTGATCCACTTTCTGTCTCTATCAATTTACCTGTTGTGGACATTTCATATAAATGAAACCAACCATACAACATGTGGCTTTTTGCGTCTGGCTTCTTTGACTTAGCATTGTGTTTTCAAGCTTCATCCATGTTGTAGCATGTGTCAGCGCTCGGTTCCTTTTTACTGCCAAGTAATATTCCGTTGTATGGTTAGACCACATTTTGTTTATCCATTCATCTGTTGATGGATATTTGGGTTATTTCCACTTCGTGCCTGTTATGAATCATGCTGTCATGAACATCGATTGACAAGCTTTTGTGTATACGTAAGTTTTCATTTCTTGGGTATCTGGTAGGTACTTTCTTATCCTTATTTTACAAGTAAGGAAACGGAGGCACAGGAAGGGTAAGTTACTTGCCTGGGCCACACAGCTCGTGTGTGACGGTCGTAATTAGAACTCAGGTCATCTGTCTCCAGAGTCCATGCTGTCCTGAGAGCCTCCTGTGCAGCAGCAGCTGGTCAAGGAGCCAGAGGGACCAGGAGAGCAAAGCAGACACACCCATCCCTGCTCTCAGGAAGCTTCCAGGGAGACCACAGTGCAACAATCAAACACGAAACCACTGGTGTGACAGCTGCAATATTAGAGTTACAAGGCCCTGTCATGGGGTGGGGGTGGGGTGGGGCACTGGGACTTGTCCTGTCAGAGGTGTTTGGGCTGAGATCCCCGGGACATGTAGGTGCTAACCTGGCAGAGATGGAGGGAAGGACTGCAGCAACCTTGCATCGCTGTGAGTCCCCAGCATAGGGCCAGCATAGCGTGCCTCCTTCAGAGGCCAAGCATTTGCCTAGCATATAGTTAGCACTCTTTGTAGGCACAGGGCTCCATGGACAATGGGTCCTAGGCGCAGTGCTGACTGAAAAATCGCTTGAGCTCAAGATCCAGGCATGAGCAACGCGTCTTGCTGTTGGCTGTTATGATGTCTCAGGGAGACCCAGATTTCCATTCCCACCTTTCATCTTAAACGTTAAAAGCCTGGAATGCTTCAGATCTAAACCTGCAGGGGGAGGGGCTCATCTCCTTCCCTCCAGTTAACTGGCCTTTCAAACGGGAGAATATCCATTCCTCCTCAAAGGGGAGCCGGTGGCATTTGCTGATGAAGAATGGATATGAGAAAAAGTAAGGTGTCAGTCACCCGACAATCCCCTGCTGATAATCCCCTGCCCGGGACTTGGGCAGCCAGGTCCCCTGCTGACCGTTTCCTAAGGGAGCCGGGAGGAGGGCCTGGTGATTCGCCCACAGGCAGAAGAGAGCCCCTGTCATCTGCTGCTGGCAACATTTGAGCCCACCCCCGTTTTCCCAGGAGGGCTGGAAGCAGGCGTTAGCTGATTCTGACCACCCCACACAGCGCCATGCTGCTCCCTGCCCAGTGCCAGGGGGCTTCAGGTCCACAGTCAAGTCTGCAGCCTGTCTCAGACACCAACCCATGTAATGGGAGGAAGCAGCTCTCTGTCCCCAGAGCGTGGGTTCCAAGTGCTTCATCAGAGACAAGTTCCACCCTCCGCATGGGTGAGTTTCAGGGCAGGAGAGCCCGAGCAGCTGCTGAGAGACTCAGATGTGGGGAAGCCTAAACAGCTCGAGTCCAGATGGCCTGGTTGTATTCTGAACTGTGTGGAGCAGAGGATGGGAGAGAGAAAAGCTGCAGAACAGGGTAACGAGTTCTGAGGGCTGATGGAGCTGAACCAGGGAGGGACGGTGGCGGGTGGAGTTACTGAGCAAAACTCAGGCAGCTGGGCAGGCACTTGGCTGAATCCAGGTCACAGTGCTCGGTGCTGTGGGCGATTACAAGACCCCTGCCTCCTTGCAGCTTGCAGTTCAACCAGTGATGCATTCACAAGTTTTAAACAGTGAAATTAGATATGGGGTTGAATTCATGCTGACAGGGTTCCAGCACAGGAAGGTGCCTGTAGACTCCGCGGAGGCCCTGAAGGTTTTGTAGGATTTGGAAAGGCTGGAGGTGGACTGAATGGTTGTGGAACACCTCGGCATGCTGAGATGCTCAGGTGGGCAGGAACTCCGTGTCTCCTCCATATTGCATGGAGGAGGGGGTTCACGGAAAGGGAGAGAACTCCCAAGGCAGGTGAGGAAACCTGGAGGTGGCAGAGGTTCCTAAGCAGAGAACGTGAACGCGCTACAGAGAACTGACAGTAGAGTGCGGATCAGGGGCCCTGCTGTGGAGCTCCTGAGAATTTCCGCCCGTATCCAGTGGGCTTATCCAAGTGCCCACTGCCCAGTACCTGTGTCTGGGCGCCAGGCACAGAGCAAAGGGCATTTTCAATTCCAAAGTCAACCAGTTCTTTCTGTTTATCCCGGAAGCTTGGAGTTCCATAACCACCACCTCAGCCCTCGGAGTTCCCCTGGGGGCCCTGCAGGCACTTCCCATTGCACGTTTGAGGGCTCCCGGCTCCAAACTTGCCCACCTTTAATTCCCTCTCCCGTTTGCGCAAGTCCTGTTGTCATGGTTTTGAAGGCTGACTTACACCTTGAGAGTTGAACTCTGGTTTCCGGAGTTGTTTCTGCCCAGTGCTCAGGGGTTCAGACCTCTTAGAGCTTTTTTCCAGCACCCAACTCAGCCTTCCACTGATGGCGTTTCTTAATTATTCCTGTGCGTCTCCCTCGGCTCAGTTAGGAATCAGAGAACGCTGCTACATCTACCTGTAGCCAACAAGAAGCCGTCGTGCAGCGGACCCAGATAGTGGCTTGCGAGGCCCCTATCTTCTGAGCATTTGCATTCGAGTTCCTCTGACACTCATCTTCTGCCTAGATTCTAGAACATTCAGGATAGGGCAGTGGAGATGTACTCATTATCACTGCTTTGCTTTTTGACCTTAGACTGTTTCTGTGAAAGGAGAGATGCTTGGGTGTGTTAAGGCAGCTTTGCAGGTAGTTTCTGAAAAGACTTCACCGGCCTGAAAACATATTTATTCACTAGCCTGCAGAATTTTCTTTGGTCTTAAGCTTGAGAGAGCCAGGTGTCTCATGGGAAAGAATAAGCGGTTAAAACCTGGGGTGCAGTCCTAAAACTTTTACCAGTGATTTACGGGGCTTCAGGCATGTTCTCTCCCCACCTGAACCTCGGTTTTCTCGCCTACAGCATGTGAGTGTTACTTTTGCCTTGCAGAACTGTGCTGTGGTCCGTGTGAGAGAGCAGCTGTGACAAGAGCTTTGTAAATCACAGAGTTTGGGATTCATGTGTCGGTAGCTGTTCACACTTTCTTTAACTGCTGGAGTTCCTGAAGACAGCAGATGAAGCCATAGATGGGAGAGTCCTGGGAAGAGTGAAAAAGCTCTCTGCATTTCTGAGGCAGTGGGAATATGGGCTGCTCAGCTCTTAGCAATGGTCTCCCACAGCAGGAAGCAGGGAGGGCTTGACAAAGCAGTGCAGGGGGTGCATACTGTAAGGAGAGGGTTCATTTAGAAGAGAAACTACTTAAATAGTCATTTATAGTAAATGTTGCGGGGGGGGGGATTTTATTAGGGCCTAATTTTGAGAAAACTGAAAACTATGACAATATGTGTAGTTTAGGTTGCATTTAATAAAATTTAAGTTACAGTTGCAGCTATGGCACCATTCTTAGTACAAAGTGTTGATTTATTTTCACATAATTATTTGGACACAATTAATGAGAGCAGTAAGGAACAGCTTGCTCTTCTCATTTGACTTTTTCCAGCAGACTCATGAGGAAGGTGGTCATTTTTGCAAAATACTGGAGAGAGCGTCACCAGTTTCCCAAGTGCCTGTTTAATTCCTTATCCTGGCTGAAGTTCTTCTCTTTTGAAGGGCCTGTTTCCTGTCCTTCCTCCTGGTGGGTTTTCTTCTTAGCTGTTAACTGAGGACCTGCCACTCCTGGGGTGTGATTTGAGTAGTTTTTCAGCATCACTTTCACCTACTTGATGAAATCCTCCATCCTCTAGGATATCAGCTATCTTATCTCCCTTTCAGTTGATGTGCATTGTATTTGCATTGCTTTGTCAACTGCTGAGACATCTAACCAATGCATCAAGATGTTGACTTAAAATGTTAATGTGCTGGGCTGGACACTGATATTGAACGGAGACTCATATTTGAGTAGGCACTGATTTTACAAGTGCTCAGTTCACGGGTTACATTTTTAGATTGTGATAATTCTTCCCTCCCTAAGTGTCCTAAGTACAGGGATCAAGATAATAAATATCTAGTTACTGAGTTTTCTGTGATCAAGAGTGTGGGCTTTGGAGTCAGAGTGCTTGGGTTTGAATCCCAGCGCCTACTTGTACAATCTATGTGACCCTTGACGAGATAATTAAATGACAATTTTTCCCCACCTGTATAAAGGGGATAATGTTAATCCCTAATTCATAAGGCTTTTGTGAGGATTAAATGAGATAGATAGGTGAGGTAAAGAGTTTAGTTCCTGAACCCGTAGTATACTCTTCACAAGTGTTAACATTACCATGTGTCATTCATGGTTTTCACCAGAATTTTTTACTCATCTTTGGCCCCGTTTTTCTGTGGAGGTGCAGTTCACAACGTCAGTGACAGCCTACATCCAAGTCCGAGGTCTAAAATAAATAAATGAGGCTACAGCAGGAAGGAGGCGTCTCAGAACCACGTAAAGGTTGGGAGCAGGGAGTGTGACCAGCATGCAAGGACTTTGTGTGGTACCAGGGACTCGACCCAACATTACGTTGGTAGGGAGGACTGACTGACCCTTTCTCATAACAGAAGCAGATGGCCAAGGGAGGGGACACACCTTCCAGAACGTTGGACCCGGATGCCGCAGCCCTCACTCTCCAGGTGCTCCCTGAAATTAATCAGGTGCTGTGTGTCCGATGTAAGAAGCAAAGAAGGAAAGGGTAAGGGAAGGGCAGGTTCTTGCAGACCGATGTCAACAGGTCTGGAGTTAGGCTAGGTATCTGTATTTTGGAGGTGCAAAGACCCTGTAAAGAGAACCACACACCTGGTCCTTAGTTGGCATGCCTGAAATGCTTGTTGAGCGAATAAAGGCATGCAGTCTACGTTGCAATACCACCTGTTTTGCTATGAGCAAAGGAATTCAGCTGAGCCATTGTTGACAAACCTGTGCAACTAGTTAGAATTAGTTAAAAAGTAAAAGCTAGGGCCCTCCCAGGGCCCAAGCTTGGTATGCTCTTTGAGTGAGATTGTTCCATAAATTCGTGGCAGTTTAGAAATGATTGCCAGACGTGCCTTTTTTTTTTAACGTGACAATGGATGTTTGGGTCCCTGTAAAAGGATTTCAATAGGAGCTGTGTGCTTAAGTCAGGCACTGTGTCCCCTCGGTTCCTGTGTCTTTCCCTGTGATGCTGGAGCTCTGGACAAGCATCCTGAGGGTCTCTTAGCAGTCTCGGAGGGGGCTTGGAGGACAGTGGGAGCTGAGCAGAGCAGAAAATGAGCCTGCAGCCCCTGTCTTAGACAGGCTTTTTACCCTAATCACCCCCTTCCCTCCCAAACAAAAATCACTTTGAGTCTGTGACTCTGGGTCTGCTCTCTCGGTTCCTCCTTGCTTTTCCTAAGGGGTCCTCAGAAATCACTCCAGACATTGGCAAAAGCCCCTCATCCAGTCCCTGAGTGACAGACAAGTGCCTCAGAGACCAAGGCCAGGGTCTCTCCAGGTCAGCTGCAAGGACTTCGGGGCACTCGGGCACTGTTTCCTGGGGCCTGAGATGCTGTGAAGTCTTGATTAACTATTTGGGGCCACATTAACTGCTTTGGGGCAGACCGCGGGAGGGAGGCCAGCCCAGGAGGCGTATTCAGCCCACCTCCGCCTGCTCACCCTCGTCTTGCCTGGGCAGAGAGTTTGGAATTCTGTTCCACAGACCGCAGTGCTGCTCCAGGGTCTCCTTGCACCTTTTGTCAAGTTGCAGGTGTTGAGGAAAAGGTCTTGTGAAGTCCTTGCTCATTCCGTGGGGGCCGGTTGGTGGGTCCCTCACTAAAGTGGAACGAAAACCCTATTTGTGCTACTCGGTCGACTTATGGCTCGATCTGGACACAGCTCTCATTTTCCCACCTGCAGCCTCAACTCAGGTGTCGGGGAGGACTCTGAAGAAGGCACAGAGGAATCTGTGAGGATCTGTTTCATCTATTAGCCTGGGTGAAATCTGATAGGGTTGTGTTTAATGAGGTCATTGTCAAGTCAGTCCAAAGAGAACCAAATCCCTATATATTCATTATCGTCGTATGTGCCAGGCATGCTTCACACTGTCCCCTGGGGAAATGCAGTGACCCGCACAGTCCTGATGCCTGCCCAGGGAGGCCACTGCCTATAGGAAGCAGTGTAAGTCATTTGGAGCAAAGCTGGCATCTAACCTGGTCTGGAGGGTCAGAGGAGTGTTGTTCAGTGGTGGTGATTTAAGTATTCGACACACCTACCCCAGAAAAGAGGATTGAGCACCTACTGTATGCACACACTGTGCCAACACCTGTGGCATGCCCCAGCTCCTTTACCTCTGTGAGATGGGTGTTACTGTCAGCCCCTTTGACAGGTGCAGGGTGCAACATTGAGAGATGCAGAGGG